ATCTTCTTCTTCTTCTTCTTCATTATTATTATCATTATTATTATTACTATTATTATTGTTATTATAATTTTATCACAATTGGTGTTCTCAGGTTGGCAAGATTGTGGCGCGTAACTCGGCCCCGATCCGAGCGCTACAGGGGAAGAACGTGATCGAGATTGACCACACCATCCGCCTGCGGGAGCGCGCTGACCACTTCAACTTCCTGGACACAACTGACCAGATCGAGAGGATGGTGAGGCAGCAGGAGGAGACGCTGCTGGGCATGGCCAGCAAACAGATCCGGGACACAGGCCGGCTCTACCACGTGAAGGAGAGTAACGAGGTGGAGTTTGACATGGATGAGACGGAGGTGTAGGGATGTGCACTGTGTGGGCGCACACATATTGTGTGGGGCCGGCTGTACAACACACGTGAGAGACAGAGAGTAATGAGGTGCAGTTTGACACAGACGAGATTGAGATGGAGGGACGTGCACTATATGTGGGCTGCACACATGTGTGGGGATGTGTGCTGTCCATGTACTCTTCTTTGAGGGTGGTTTTGGGAGGGGTGGGGGTGGGACAGTGGTTAGGGGTGGTTAGTAGACCAAGACCTGAATCTGACTGTGTTCTTACGATTTGCGTCATAGCCGGCATTGTGAATACGTCATAATGGAGAACTGAAAAAACTGGAATGTTCATTTGTTACTTCAAGTCTCCGTGGCTGATTTTTCCTTCATCTGTCTCATGGTGGCGCCAACAATGTGTCATTAGAGAATAGGTTATGTATATGTAGGACATATAATATTGTAATTTGATAGTACAGTATGGTACTATATGGAATATGAAAGTACACGATTGTACTTTGTAGAATGCTTAAGTACATGACTGTATTGTTTGGAGTGTATAAGTACATGACTACGCTGTGTGAAATGGTCGCTTTTAAGCACAAGGGGGTATCCCGCAAAATGCTGTTTTGAGAAAAGCGAAGGTAAAGTTTTTTTCCCCTTGTTCAATTTCTTTAAAAGACAGTGAGAGTTTTCTCTATAACCAAATATACACACCAATGAAACCAAACTTCTCCTGTAGGTAGGGCAATGCCCACTCTTGGTGTTGGTAAAGATTTCTGGAAACCCAAGAAATCTGGGTTAGCTTGCTTGTCCTTAAAAGCGACCAAATATGATAGTACATGATTGTACGGTATGGATTATGATAGTACATGACTGTAAGGTATGGAATATGATAGTACATTATTGTACTGTGTCGATGTACTATGTATTATGGAATATTATGAAGGAAAATGGATTCATTTGTTTGTTTTTTCCTTTAGTATTAATCTCCGAATAGTAGCTTAGTGTAAAGGTGATGGTGTTTCGGTGGCACGTGTACCTTTGCCTGTAACGTCAGGGTTGTGTAGACTCTGTCTGTACTTTCTCTTCTTGTTTTTGCACCATATACTCCGAGGTTCTGTCCTCATTCATATCCTATAGGGGGGTTTGGGGGGCAGGTGGATGTGTAATTGGGGGTTGGGGTGTCATGGAACTCTGGGCGGGGG